GGGGGCCCCAGGTGATGGATATTGTGGTCAGGCCAGGATTGGGAACCCCAGGCTGGATGAGCGTGCCTCACAAAGGTATGAGGTGAACAGGAAAAGCCAGGCGGATGATGGCACGTGTTTGGAGGCCCAAAGTCTCTTGCTTTGGTCTGAAATCTCTGAGACTAAACAGAATTTATGATGGCAAGGGCACAAGGAATTCAGGTTTTTCATTTTCTGATGTACGGCAGCAAAGCGAAAGGGTAATCGGGAAAGGCGATGTGTTCGGACCCCGTAGTAAAGGCACGTCCAGGTCTTTTATCACCTTCATTGGAGTCTCTGACGTAGATCAGGCCGTGGAGGAAGTTCTTCTGTGCACATCACTGCCAAGCACGCACACAGACCCAGGCCTGGGTGGTGCCCAATGTGCCCTGCCTGACATCGTGCCTTCTCCCACCCAGGACGTCCTTGTGGTTCGCGCTCAACCACCTGTGTTCGCCAGGCCTGGGTGGGTGTGTACCAAGGAGGGTATTTGGAGGAGGGCTGATCCTGATTCTCTGACACTGGTCTGGAAGTAGGAAGTTGCCCTAAAGGACTTCTGAGAGCCCTTGGAGCTGCATGTTTACAGTATTATTACATACAAAATCAAATCTCTTATTTAGAAGCATTACAGTGTTTATTTTTTATAAGTTCCAGGGAACTGCGGGCAGGGCCCCCAGGCAAGGCTCTGACAGCAGCTGGGACACGGGGCACGAGAGGAGCCAAAACAGAAAGGGGGACCACATGAGCTCAGGCTGGGACTTCCCCTAGCTCCCAGCCGAAGCCCTGCTCTCTCTGGCAGTGCTTTCCTCCCAAAGCCACCTCAACTCTGGGATCAATGTCTCCAGGCAAGAAGACACACACCACCCCAAGTTACCTGGGAACTGACCAAAAAGGATCTCACTGATGGCACTGATGTTTAATTTATATGAGCGTCTTCTGGAGAGTTCTCAAAAGGCACGAGAGAAGCCCGTGGTGACCTGACGCAGCGTGGCCCTTGGAGGACACCTGGGCCGGCTCTCGGAGACATCAGGGGAGAGCAAGCTAGGCAGGCTGCTCGATCGTTTCTTCTTTCTCTGGGCCTCAGGTTCCTAATCTGTAATAGTCAGGGGTGAACTGAGCCTTCACACGTCCTTCCAGCTTTAAAGGTCCATGAGCAGTGAGAAGCAGTGGCCCCATCGGCCAAAGAGCATCTTCAGGCTAAAGTCACTGAATGATATAGGAAGCCGCGGTCAGCACCTTCCTCTGAAATTCCCATTAGAGCTCCCGCTTAGCTGGTGCCCAGCCCGTGCTGCAGGGGTTACCCCCAGGCTCAGTGTATCTTCACAGGAACCCCGAGGAAGGTTCTGGTGCCTCCCTTTTTACATAACTGTGTGCCTAAAGTCACAGGGTGATACAAGAGCCAGCATCTGGATCTGGGACTTTGTGACCTCAAAATCTGCCTATTTTGGGGCGCCTGGGTGGCTCAGTCAGTTAAGTGTCTGACTTCGGCTCAGGTCATGATCTCATGGTTCATGAGTTCAAGCCCCGCATCGGGCTCTGTGCTGAGAGCTCAGAGCCTGGAGCCTGCTTCGGATTCTGTCTTCCTTTCCCTCTGCCCCTCCCCCACTCACGCTCTGTCTCTCTCTCTCTCAAAAATAAACAAACATTGAAAAAAAAATTTTTTTTAATCTGCCTATTTTCCACTACTTTCTAGAAGTTCATGCACTGACTACCTGACATGCTCCCCTGGGGGGAATCTCAGTGTCCAGATTTTCCCTTTTAATAAGGATGTTAGATTAGGACCTACTCTAATGACCTCATTTTAACTAGATTACATCTGTAAAGCCTCTATTTCGAAATAAGGTCACATAAGGTACTGGAGATTACATCTGTAAAGCCTCTATTTCGAAATAAGGTCACATAAGGTACTGGAGATTAGAATGACAACAATGTTTCTGGAGGAACGCAGCTCAACCCATCATAGTTTACTCTCTGGCCCCCCAATTCACATCCCTCCCATGTGCAAAATACAGGCACCGAGCGTCCCCCCAAAGTACTATGCATTCCAGCACCAGCTCTAAGTCCCAAATCTCCTCCTGACTCCTCATCCGCTCAATGACCCAAATCGCATCCTTAGAACCGTGGACCGCAGCCCACCGCCTCTCCAGAAGCAACCGTCCCCTATTCTGCAACACACATCCTGGTGAGCCACCCAACAGCCATATGGTTCCGCTCCAACACCTCCCTTCATTAGCCACGGAACACGGGCGCCACTTGTTCCTAGACACAGTCTGTCAAGGGAAATCCAAAGACCTCCTCTAAGGACGTTCTTTCAGAGCGAACAAAGAGGGAAGCATGCCGGAGCGCCCTGGCTTTCCCAGGGAACCAGGAGCCGTGAGAGGCCTTGTGTGCTTTCGAGCGAAGAACTCAAGACAAGTTTCGAACTTGCAGTTTCAGAGCGAACTTATTTTTCCTCTGTTATTAGGATTTTGTGCGTACGATCGCTTTTCTGTTGACCGACAGCTGTTTTCATTCCTGGTTATGAAGAAGTCCTAGAGCCCTAACCATATTTGGGACACAAGGTCTCAGGGAGGCAGTGCTCTGGTGGTGCTGGCACACTGTTTATTTTCTCTTCTTCCCTGTCGTCTGCAGACCTCACATCAGGTGCCGAACAAGCGGAAGAAGGACCAGGGGTCAAGAAAGTGCACACCCAGGGGGTGCCTAGGTGGCTCAGATGGTGGCATCCAACTCTTGAGTTCTTTAGCTCAGGTCACAATCTCAGGGTTCACGGGTTCGAGCCCCACATCAGGCTCTGTGCTGACAGCACAGAGGCCGCTTGGGATTCTGTCTCTCCCTCTGTCTGCCCCTCTCCTGCTGCAGCATGCGCGTTCTCTCAAAATAAATAAACTTAAAAAAGAAGAAGAAGAAAAGGAGAAAGGAGAACTCCAGCTTGCCACGGCTCTCAGGTGCATCTGAAGAAGGGCTAGCCGGTCTAGCTGGTCAAAGACCTGTGCTCCTTGAAGCAGTTGGCTCTTCTGTCCGGGTTTCCATTCCCACTGCTACCTGGGACCCACCTAAACTCATGGGGGGGGGTGGTGCTGGGAGGGGCAGTGAGAGATGAGGGGCCACCCAGGGCTGTCCTGAGCTGCTGCCCCACCAGCAACCTCACTGCACAGTGCAAACGGGGACCCCAGAACAAAGGAAGGACATGCGCCCACGAGCTGGTGGCCCTGGGCAGTTAGCTCATCGCAGTGATTCACCCCCACTTCCTCAACCCAAGGTTTCAAAGCCTCTTTCTTTGCTTCTGGCTTGAAGTCTGTATGAACGTGAGCCAGACTGGACTCACCTCCGACACAGATGATCTGACTCATTCCGTGTTCGATTTTTATTAGTGGCAGAGATAGAGTGAGACAGCCTTACTAGAACCTGCATGACTGTTTTTCTTCCGTGTGACCCCAACAGTCTTGTAGATTTTCTTAGTGCAAAACGTTGTTTCCTCACACTAAGCTCATAACCTGCTATGACAGTATATATATACCTTTGTTATTTGCACGTGAAGACACAAACATCTTTTTTATCTTTACAAGGTAAACTCAGTTGACATACCTAACTGGATGAAGAAGTTTCTAAAATGTCAAAACAAGAAAAGCTTTTACTGCCCACAGTTTGAAGCATATGTGGTTAAACTGTATTCTTCCATTCATTCAGTGAGGCAGTAAGTATTTAACCAGGGCTTACAAGGCGCTGAGTGGTGTGGGAAACAGAGGCAGAAGCAAATGGTAGACAAAATTAAATGGCCTTATAACCTGCAGCCCATTGACAATTATCGAGTGTAACAATTCTCCAGGACCTCCCTACTGTCTTGATGTTGAGGCTTTGCTGGAAGGGAAAACAACCTTAGCAAGAAGACAGCCAGGCCTCCAGGATCTGTGAGTCTTCTTTAGCATATGAAAATGCTGTTGGAGACTTCCTCTTGCCTTTACCTCCCCAGCTCCCAAGTATGTAATCAGCCACTCCTCACTATCGGGGCATCGATTCCTGCCCCACAGGTCCTGTCCCTGTGCTTTAATAAGATCACCTTTTTTTTTTTTTTTTTTTTGCACCAAAGACGTCTCAAGAATTCCTTCGTGTCCTTTGGTTCCGGATCCCCACCACCACTCGGAAACCACATCACCGAATACCGTGACAGGTGTGAGCTCTGTCCAAGAGCTTACTGTCTAGTTGGAGACAGACAGGAGTGGGGGTGGGGGGGGCGGTGAAGAGGGCCTTCCGGACAATGGGAACAATGTCTGCGAAGGGGCAGGGACGGCAGGGGTGGGTAGAGACGGACGTAGAGAGAATGAAAACCTCTGAAGGACTGAGAATCTGTTAGAAAAGTCCATGCAGGTTTCTTAAGTAGACAAGTGCAGGATCTGTTAGGTCTCTGGCCACCTTCTGGTGAAGCGGCGGGTAAAAGGCAAGCGTAGGTGTGAACACGGCAGGTGAGCACTGAGTGCAGGAAGTCAGGAGAGAGCCTGGGAGCTTGGTCAGGGATGCAGAAGGGAAGACTCCCTTTAATGAGTTCCACAAATTGGCACCATCTGTGGCTTCATTTCAGAAACAGAAGGGGTGGGCGGGTATGCGCTGGAGGTTATAGACATTAAATGAGAAAGGGAAAGTCATTTTCGATCTTTTTTTAGATGGAGGAACCCTCCTCTTACTGATAGACTCCCAGAGTGGGAACGGACATGGGGACATCTTTCGGATGTCTGAATAGGTTCTTCTATATCTTTGCGAGTGACAAGGAGACCTCGACCTTAGGAGGTCTCTCCCCACTCTGTGGGAAGCCAGAAAGATCTCACGTACGGATTTGGGTTCTACCTCTTAAAGCTCAGGAGACCAATTTCTTTTGAAGGACACCCTCCTATCGTCATCCCCCCTGGTCACGCCTCATGTGCTGGGATTTCCAAGTCCTTTGTTCCATTTTGGCTGGGCCAGGCAGAGCAAGAACACCACGACAGGAATTCTAGATCCTGTAGTGCTAGTGTGGTCCGCTAAGACCACGTTGGCTGCCCTGGTGGCCTCTTCACACCATGACTCACTGAGGCTTTTTACACACTGTATCACTATTAAGGGGCAGTTCCTGGGCCTTGTCTTCTCTGGTGCCATTAATTTGGGGGGCCCGAGCAGATTTTACACTTGTCCCCATTCCATGGATCCCCGTACCCCCTCCCCCCCAATCTTTTTGAAGCCCCTTCGCCACTATCATGTAATGAGATCTGAGACGACTGTTGATAAAATCGGGCCTCACACCGCTTGGCACTTGTCTGTCCATCGGGTTCTTGGAAGACGTGGATGCGGAGGTGAGTGGGGGTGGCTGCCCTTTCTGTTTTTTCCCAAACAGTGGGTATGGGGGGAGGGAAAGGAGATCCAGACAACTGATTTATTTCCCATTTCCCTGGAAAACATATTTACCATTCCCCACTTGAGGAAGAATTTAGACCTTGCTCCAAAATCTTCAGGAAACTCTCCCAAACTTAGCACACCATGATGCCAATGTAGCTGTCTTCTGACTCACCTCCAGATACTTTGTCTCCTCCTAACTGCTCAAACCACAGATTAATGATGGAATGTTGCTCTGTCCCTGCCCAAGCCCAAGCCAGAAAATAGGAAACACGTTTATCTACGCAGTTACAGGCACTTCTGTAAATGTGGTTTTCTCCGCAGCCTCTCCAACCTCAGCAAAGGAGAAAAATCCCTAGCGTGCCCCGGGGAGTAGCTCGATCATTCATTCATTCATTCATTCATTCATCCCAAGACGATGGGAGAGCAAGGGCAGAAATCCTGGAAAGTGAAGTCTGAGGAGGCCCTTAAATCAAGTAAGAGATGAAAGAAAAATCGAGATTCTGGCCTGGGTACACACAGTATTTTAACATAAGGACAGAACTAGAGACCATTCTAATTAAAGGCCTCTACAGGTGGGATCCCACAGGTGGGATCAGCCTCTCGGTTTCCTGGATACCAGTTCATGCAACGGCTCTGAGGGCCAACGTACACACAGAACAAAAGCATTTAATGAAAGTGAAAAAGAGGAGAGCAAAGGAGAAATGAGAAGGCCTGTGAGTGGGGAGAAAGGAAGAGCCAGGGAGGAAAGAATGAAATCCACTCCTTGCGCTCTTTCCTGCCAGAGAGGCTTGAGAGACTTGTTTCGACCGGGATCCCGAGTCCAGAACAAAAGCGGCGGGGGCCACAGCACGGGGAGAGGGAAGGCGCGTCCCAGGCACGCGTGGGGGCGCCGAAGGGTGGGGGCGGCGGGCGCGCAGGAGGCCAGCGAGACCCGCGGGGATCGGCAGCCGCTCGCGGGGGGGACCTCGCACCGCGCCCTCGGGGCCCCGGGCGCCGCCGCGGTCCCCGGCCCGACCCCGCGCGGACCGGGGTGCGGCGCCCCGTGCAAGGTCGTCCCGGGAAGCCCCGGGGGTCGCGGGAGGCTCGGCCCCACGGTAGCTGCGGGAGCCTGGCGAGCTCGCGGGCCGCGGTTCCCGCTCCAGGTGAGGGCGCGGCGCGGTGTCACTTTACCTGCGCGCAGAGGGCCGTCCGGGAAAGCCATGGGGCGGGGTGGGGCAGACGAGCGCCCAAGGGGGCTGCGCGACCTCGGGGACGGGGTTGGAGAGCGGGAGGGCAGGGATGGCAGGTCCTGCCGTGCCGACGCGCCCGGAGCTCACCACCGCGGCTCTGCGCGCCCCTCCTCCTCCTCCTCCTCCTCCACCTCCTCCCAGACTCTCCGCAGCGTCCTCCGCGTGCTCACTTCCTGCTTCGGCAATTAGCAAAGCCCCTTCTCGGCGCGGCCGCCTCCCTCCCTCGGCAGGCGCGGGCCGGGGCCGGGGCGCGGGGAGGGGCGCCCGCGTGCCCGGAGCGTCGCCAGTTCGGGCAGCGCCCGCAGCCGTCGTCCTTCCTGCCGCGCGCCCAGGCTCCCGACCTGGCGGCCCCTCGAGCGCCGTCCCGGCCTGGCTGCGAAGGAATCGGTGGCCTTAAATCCCGGCTGCAGTCGCGGGTCGCCGTGCTGGCCCCTAATCACGCCGGGGCCGGCACGCAGCTCTCCCACCGCAGGCCCCGCGATCTGCTGTTTAAAGTCTCCCGGTCTTTGGGCAGCGAATGCCGCTGCATGGTGGCACACGCGAACAACCGCGATTCGGAGTTTTCTTTGGGCGATAGCTATTACGTGGCCTCCAGGATAGATGCTGCACAAAGGGAGGGAAACGAGAGAGCGCCTGGTCCACACCCGTACAGCCGTTCTAGAAAAATAGCCGGGGTTCTCTCGGAAATGCGGAATCGGTTCTTCCAAGAAAACCACTAAGGTCTAATTTAAAGGGGAACATGCGCCAGTTACTTACGGGAGCACAGACTGGCGTCGTTTACTAAGAATACATTAGAGATAGTTGTATTTTTTAAAAATTTTTCCAATGTTTATTCACTTTCCGAGAGACAGTGAGCGGGGGAGGGGCAGAGAGCGAGGGAGACACGGACTCTGAAGCAGGCTCCAGGCTCTGAGTTCCGCGGGGCTGGAACTCGGGAACCGCGAGATCAGGACCCACCCGAGCTGCAGTCGTCCAGGCTTCCCAAAGACAGTTGTATTTTAATTAAACCTATCGTCAGTCATAAGTCTATTACACAAGCGTTATAGGCAATTTAAATGTAACAGGACTCTCCTAAGGGTTTTTAAAGAATCCACATCGGCCTGGGCAGGTGAGGATGGAAAGACGTATGTAAGAGACAACATAATCGCTGTTAGCATGCAGTGTCAGCGACTGATCACTAAAGGAGCCTCCTCCAGCCCAAAGCTCAGCTTTGAGAAACGCAGAAAAGCAGCAAATACCTACATACCCTCGTGGTGACCAGAGGCTTGTTTTGTGCTTCTCCTCATCTGTTTAGTGGTCCGGAGGCCCATGGCGCTCTCTAGATTGGTGTCTTAGTCTCTGGAAGAGGCCATGGAAGAGGCAAGAGCCTCAGAAAAGAGTGACCCGCTGTGTGTCTGAAGAAAGTAACAACCTTCTAGATGAAGCTTTCTGGGGAACTTGTAAGTGGGAGCGTAAGCTTCCTTCTGGTCTGCTTCTGATAGGAAGGGAAATTTTTTCTAAGAGTATTTTCTCTTCGAATCTATTTTGAGGTTTGGTTTGTGGTTCTTGCAGACTTCTCACGAAGATGGAATTATTTCTAAAGTTGGTTGGCAGGAACCGCATATCAAATTGTGCTATCTTGTTAACACTGTAAGCTTGAGCATTGCCATAAAGCTGGTTGGCCTTTCAAAACCCTGAACTAGAATTCATCTCTGTATCACTCTCATTCTTTATTATACCGAATAGAAGATAGGTGGCAGAAATGTACTTTCAGATTAAATTTTTTTTTAAAGAAGATTGATTATGTACGTAAATTATTATCTCCTTTCATTCAATTTCCTTGTACCTCCTTTCCTATGAATTGCAACCATAACCCATCATTATCTTCACTGTTCCCATGTGCTTTGTGAACTATAAAGTGTGCACTACAAACGAGAACTTTTTCTTTTTGCAATTTACAAAAGAACTAATTTAAAAACAATTCTCATCCACCATCATTCCCACAGATTCCCATACAAGCTATTTGCTCTCACATTATGTCATTCGGCTTTTGCTTCTATTGCTTCTAAAGAGCGTAAAACACTCAGCTCAGGCCATGACTCAGCTTGTTTCAGCTGACTTCAGCTCAGGCCATGATCTCACGGTTCATGAGTTTGAGCCCTATGTTGGGTTCTGTGCTGGCAGCACAGAGCCTGGAAGCTGCTTCAGATTCTGTGACTTCTCTCTCTGCCCTTCCCCTGCTCTCTCAAAAATAAATAAACATTAAAAAATTTTTAAAAAGCACTCTTTAAAATGGACATTTTTTACATTTCCTGATAGCCCCTACATACTCATGAATCTCAGAATCATGGTAAATGGGGATGGTGGACTTGGTAATCAAGGAGTCAAGCATGCTGGATATGACTGGGAGTTTGTGTTACTTTGGCAAGCAATGCAAACTCTTGAGTGTAAGAATTTATAGGATTGTGAAAGTTCAATGGAATAATGTGTCTATAAAGATACCTAAACCAGGGGCGCCTGGGTGGCTCAGTCAGTTAAGCATCCAACTTCAGCTCAGGTCATGATCTCATAGTTCATGAGTTCGAGCCCCCATTGGGCTGGTTGCTGTCAGCATAGAGCCCACTTCGGATCCTCTGTCCCCCTCTCTGTGCCCCTCCCCTGCTCATGCTCTCTCAAAAATGAGTAAACATTAAAAACAAATAAACAAAAAAAAAAAAACTAAATCAGTGCCTCTCACATAGTAGGTACAAATAAACCAGCTACCTTCCTGTTTTCATTCTTTCCTTGGAATTTAGTTTATTGCAAGAAGTTCCTATTTGTTATAAGAAATTTGTTGTAGTGTTTGTGCACAGCATAGATGGATGGATGGAGTCATAGCATCAAATAACATACTTTTTGAATTGCCCATTCCCCTGCCCCGCCCCAACGCCAAACAAAATGCCAAGCCCTGGGGAAACCAAAGTGAGAAGTCCCCAACTTTTAGGAGTTTATGGTCAAGAGAGACTTGCAAATACTGTTTCACTATAGAACTGGGATCATGAAGGTTTAAACCAGGAAGAGAGCATGTGTAGAAGAAAGGCACTGAAGATGTATGCAAGCCATCTGGCTGGGTGGTGACCACCCTCAACCTGACAATTTGCCTTGAAAGCTTTCAGGCAAACTTTGAGACCTTTATTCAAGATAATCTGGCCTTAAGTAGAGAAAAACATACACACACACACACACACACACACACACACACAAACTGTTGGTCTTGTGTCTTTTCACGAACGGATGACAGTTATCAGAAATGTTATCTTTAAAGAGAGAAAGCATTAACTCAAAATATATTTTATTTGATTCATCACAGAATATGTTGTTTTTGTTCATTTTACACCATTGTGGCTAAGTGTTACTTAAATTTGTGCAACCTGAGATAAAAAGTTATTATTGAGGGTATGTACATTGTATACAATGAACCCAGCAAATTGTGCTCCCAGACAGGGTCTCATCTATATAAAAGTGGCTGTAACGGGGGCACCTGGGTGGCTCAGTTGGTTAAGTGTCTGACTCTGGATTTCGCCTCAGGTCATGATCTTACAGCTCATGGGTTCAAGTTCCATGTGGGGCTCCACAATGACAGTGTGGAGTCTGCTTGAAATATCTCTCCCTCTGTGTCCGCACCTCTCCTGCTTGTGCTCTGTCCCTCTCAAAATAAATAAACATGAAAAAAAGTTTTTTTCAAGCAGCTATAATGGAAGTGCATGGATTTGGGGCAGTAGGAGACTCCTTACATTCCAGAATGAGACAGTGCCTCCCTCAGCTGCATTTGTGTGATAAAACCCTGTGGAATTGTGTGTGATGCAAGAGGCCTAATGAGAGTTAATACGTTTGCTTGTCTCCTTGAATTTTGTCCAGTGTGTTAAGGCACTTGTAGGGGATCTCAGCTGTTTTACCACCTGACTGCTCATGATAATGCCCCAGTTTTCTTCTGGAAAACCGCCATTCCCACTTTCAGTCCATGTGATTAGGCAGTGGCAACATCACCCTGACTCCCGACTCTAGGGTTTGGGCATGTGACCCAGTAATAGCCTTTCAGACCATTACTGAGTAAGCCTATGAGTCCAGGAGGTGTATGGGACCTTTGCTGGGTCAGTGGGGCCGTGGGGTCAGTGGGGTCTCTAAATAACTAGCCGGAGATCATTTCTTCCACCACACCACATGCTTGTGTGTGAAATGTTTGCCAGGGTGCACATCACAGAGAGCCTTGAATGCCAGACGAAAGCATTTGAGACTATTTTTCATGCAACAGGAAGCCAGGAAGCTAGTTTTGAAAAGCAGCATATGAAAATTGGTGTTTTTGGAGGATTAGTGTGGCAGCTGTGTGTAGGATAGGATGGAGGAAGGCGCAAACTCAATCCAAGAGTGCATTTAATCTTCACAGTGCACTGTAATTTATTACAGAGTTGAATTTGCATCCTTGTCCAAAAGTGAGGGAAACTCATATCTGAAACTCATATCTAAAAATTGTAAATGTTCTTTTGTTGCCTTTTTAAGCATTCGTTGTCTCCCATGAAGTGATTGCTTTATGCGTTTGCAGATGTTCCTTACAAATGATGTACTCCAAAATGTTGACAGAGGGACTAGAAAACTTATGTAAGGAAAATATTATCATTTTAGTTGATGTGAGCCCTATTTGACAGGGGCACAGCACTCTGGTGCATACATTTAAGCATGAATAGTTCTTAAAGTTTCTTCTACCTACTTGGACAAAAGCCGTTCTATGTACAGGAGAGTAAATCTCTCTTGCCAACTTCTACCAGCTTACTTTGAATCATTTACCCATTACGACGCATGAGCCAGAAAACCACCATTTTTGTGCTGTGTTTGGTTTTCCACAAAGAGAATGGAACAGTGGGTGATTCTCAGTGTGGGTCTTGCTAAAAACACTTTGAGTGCCATGGATCGGGAGTGGGAGGTACGGAGAGGTAGGGAGATGGGAGAAAAAGTATGGCTCTCTAATGAGCGCTTTATCCTGGAACCTGACTACAGCCTTGCGCTGTCACCACTCACAAGTGTGTGCTGGTACCTTGACCTTGGGTGCCATCATCCTCAGCATGTTCAGCTGCTTTCTTAGTGAATATATATAATAGCAATTTATTTCTTGCTCCAGATATTAAGAGAAAATCTGATCAAAAAGATGAACTTTATGGATCAAAACCTGAAACCCAACTAACTGAAGTCAGCTAGAGATTTTGTTCCATTTCTGCTGTTAGGAGAAAAGGGCAGATGAGAAGAAAACCTGGCGTTATCGGCGACCAACTAAAAGTTGTGTAGTCGGCACCTGAGAGTTTAGTTTCCTGTGCTGTGTACCCTCAGAATGTGGAACACGGGCTCAAGTTGCTGACTTGGGAATCTACAAAATCATCCATCATTTAATAAATTATTTTAAAACTTGTCATTTAGAGTGTATTATTTTTTTACAAAAAATGTTTATTTATTTTGAGAGAGAGAGAGAGAGCACACGAGTGGGACAGGGGCAGAGAGAGAGGGAGAGAGAGAATCCCAAGCAGACTCCTCACTGTCCACACAGAGCTCAGTGCGGGGCTCGAACTCATGAACGGCGAGATCATGAGCTAAGCTGAAATCGAGAGTCAGACTCTTAACCAACCGAGCCATGTAGATGCCTCTAGAGTGTATTCCGAGCTAAGACAAGAAGGTGGACTTAGATACAAGTGAGTCAGATGAGGAACTATTAGAACTAATAGGTGAATTTAGCTTGGAGGAGAGAAAAAGCTCAACGTACGGAACACCAACAGCTTTCCTATAGATCACCAATATGGAAATGGTGGAAATGATCCCATTAAAACAGCAAATAAAGCTACAAAGTTACTGGGGATAAATTCAATAAAACTATCTTTAAAAATCGCAAGAACTACAAAGCTTTCCTGAAGGCTGTAGAAAATAAATCTGAGTAGATAGAGAACTATACTAGGTTAATTGATAGGAAGCCTCAATATTGTAAAGATACTCATGGTTCCCTAATTAATCTATGCAGTTAATGAAACCCAATCAAACTAATAAGATTTTCTTTGAACATGAAACTGGTTGTAAATTTATATGGAAGGGTAAATTCAAGATAATTTTGAAAAAGAATAACAAAGAGGTGGTATTTGCCCTATGAGATAGCAAGGTATTATAAAGTAACAGTAATTAAAACAGTGAGTATTGGTATAAAAAAGGATTAACGGGAGCAGAAAAAAATGAAGCACAGATTCTTGTATCTTTGGGGAATTTGCTACATGATTGAAACATTTAAATGTTGAGAAAATAGTTCAAAAATAGTATGGGGATATTTTGCTATTTA